GTCTTATTCGAAGGAAAGTCATCAAGATACTGAGCTATTAGAAATTTAAATTTATACATTGGTTTATTTCGATTAATCTTGCCTACAAATATACGATCGCCCCAAAAACAACCTTGTTATCGTAAAGAGCATACATAACAATTACAGCTAGTTGAATGCTTAAACAATAATGAAAAGAAAGAACTCTTTTTAGTTGCAGAGAGCAAGTCAGATCGATCGTAACCGACTTATTGCTGTTAACTAAGTGATTGTACTAGGTAATTGACTGTCATTTCCGGTTGGCTGGATCCAGTTATTTAAGTTAGGTGCGATTTCGATTCAAACTCAGCACAAGACAGCAATTCAATTGCCCATACATCCCCAACCTCATTTGGATTGACCTGTGGCTCTTCCTTGTGGAGTTGTTCTTTAAAGAAGATGGAAAAACGATGTTCATCTTTCTTTTGAATCGCTCTCTGATCTGCAGATAGACGAGCAACACGACATTCGGTTCTTAGCACATGTACTCGGATATCTATCAAAACTTGATGATATGGAGTTAATTATCAGTTTGAAGTTTTTTTCTTACCTGAATGTTTCGCATGCAGTGTAGAGCGAAAATTAGGAAACCCTGCAGCATGAAAATGATTTCAAGATCATTAATTTTTGCAATATGCAAACAAATTAGTCAAATACCTATAACGATTTCAAGAAGGAAATAAAATTGCGTATCTTATAATTGAAAAAGAAGTCTTCCTTCTCTTGCATAGCTAACTGCATTTTTGTTTTCAAAACTCCAAACAATTATCATGTGATCATTGTAATGGTGTCTCATTTGGTTAGAAAGTAAAATAATGATAGAGATTGAATAATTTTGAGAGTTACCAGCGAATACTGACTTGAGCAGAGTTGAGTATGGTGAAGACGTAAACGAAAGTTTCATGTACAGGCGAGAGGAGACCGAATACCACCTGACACCCAATAGGGGAATCATCACCACGCATGCTTTGATGCCAATTCTAGGAGTTAAAGAGAAAACATTCCTTTATTTTCCTTAAACAATGTATTTTCATTTTTAGATATCGTAAGGCCTTACTGATTAAGGAATGAGGAAGGTTGGCGAATAGAGCCTCACTGGAGAACATGAAAACCTCTTCCACTATTTTGTTTTCGTTTTGTGTTGTCAATCTTACCGTATTTGCTGAGAATGGTAGTTTTCCCCTTTTGCCGAGGAAAGAAATTTGTTTAGTTTCTTAGCTACTCTCTACAGGTTTATGAAAAGCAATCCTCAACATTAATATTGTGATATTAACATATCATTTTAATGTGTAATGATACTCTACCTAATGCAAGTGCACTCGCTATTTCTTTGTCTGCATTGATGTCCGCTGGAGACTTCGGAAACTTTCAGATCACACCCTTTTCAGGCTTTACGATGTCAATCAAAGGTTGCACAGTCTCCAGACCATCGTAATTGTACCAGACTCGCCGAGTGGTGTACGAACACGACCGAATACACGGGAAGAAACACTGGTTGTATTGACGAGTGGCGTAACAGCAATCAATAGAGTTTCCCATAATGAAGATAATGGACATTTAGAAAATAAAAAAAGTCAAAAAGAGAATAATGATCAACTTTTACGAATCAAAAGAACAATTGATAATATTTAGATGTAGCCAAGTCTAAAAGCGGAGCTGTAGGGATGTTATTACTGTACAGCCCTTTACCTCATTAAAACTTATCATTGGCTGTCAAAGAATTTATTCATGGCAACTAGGAAGGAGACATTAATCATGAAGAGGGGGGCTTGGAGTCAAGGGCCTTTCAGTGGGGGCAGCTTTCCTTTGTTCATTTAAGAAATGAGACGGTCATCTTCTTAAGTAAGTTCCGTGGATAATAAGAGTGAATGACTAGCTAGATAATTTGTGCAAATAGCCAGTAAAGGATTAAAAGCAAGATATTTTTAAATTATTGGCGGAAAGCGTCCTCAGTGATCAAATGAATTGGATCAAAGTAGTTATGAAAGACCAAATAAAAACTGTGAACATTGACAAAGCGATGTTGGAATTTTTCGGTATGAAGCGGAGATGAAGAAAAAAAAACTTCATTGCCTCGATGCGCGCTATTTATTTCTTATTGAGTGCATAGAGAGATAAATCTGTACTCGAGCCAAGATGCCTATCCAGCAACAGCCTATTCTTGTTTCTGTAGCGTGAAGTGACAAGAAGTATAGCAATTCTCCCCCTGGCTGGAATGCTCGTCCGTGACATGTTCCTCCCCCCATTCCCCCCACCCAACCCCTTGCTCAGCATTTCGTCAGGTTTTTCTGTCAGTTCGCCGGTACCCATTTCAACTCCTAGATGAAGCGAGGCACTGTGAGGATAAAGAGACTTGCCTAAGAACAGAGCACAATATGTGAGAAATTTTAGTGCGAACTCTGCAATGGTAAATCGATGCCTCGTCTCTGTCTCGATATGATTGTTTGGATGGTTGGATCGAGAAGGTCCCATTTGTCTCACAAAAAAGAGAAAAAAGAAAAGAGATTCACTATCATTTGCGCGATTTACTGAAGGGACACACCACTCAGATAATCAGCTGGTAGCTGAATCAGTTTTATTCCGATTGTGCAGCTCGTCGGCGATCGTGTGGGTAGATGGAGTGTCTACGTGTTCGTATCGATTCGTCACCTCAACTCCGGGCATGACGAATGTGGACATCGTTGTGTTCCAAATACGAACTTATACAAATTTCTTTCTGGGATTCCGTTCTCACAATAAGACGAATTTTGATGATCACATATTTTTTATGTATTTTTTTTTACAGAAGATGGCTAAGAAATATACAAAGCTTTAAAACGCATGTGCTGAGCTGCTAGGCCATTAAATCGTTTGTTTTACCAAGTCGCAGCCGCCGTGGATTAGAGACCTTTAACTACGACGACGGCGGCAACGGGGACGAAGCAAAACAAAAGATCTAATGAGCAGAACAAAAGCAGAACAATAGCAATTGAATGCAGAGTTAGGGAAACTGAGGCCTCTAGAAGAGAGAGAATCATGAACATAGCCGTGAACCACGCACTAAGCTCGAATTAAATGTTAGACGAGATGTAGCCTTCAAGCTAGCACTTCCTGTTGCAGTTGTTTTTCGTTCAGTCAGCGGAAAACAAAAGGGCGTCGCGCGAATAAAGAAATCGCAAGGGTCTGCCTCCTCTTTTCGTGTTAACGGAGGTTTGTTTTTCTTTTGATGGAAAAATAGACCAAATGGTCAATTACCCTCAATCATCGTTTTCGAATAAATCTGCTGCGTATTCATTGCCGCAATTAAAAAAATAATCTCTTGAAAAAGTTCAACTTGAGCTACTAGGCTAGTTTACACTGCAAGCACATTTTCAACTCGTTTCTTTTTTATAATTTTGCCGTAGTTTATTGTTACAATGGTTTCCCTTGAGCTACACGGCTAGATCACGCTACCATAACATTTGGACGTGATGTTGAAAGAAAGGAAAACATCAAGAACCACATCGCTTAAAGATTTCATTATTCTGCGATCGGGAATTTTACGAGTTAATTGTCTTCATTCAAAACACTAGAAGCTTCTAGTGATTACTGAATTCCTTAGCAGTCGAAAAACTATGGGAATTAGCCTCATATTGAATAAACAAACTTAGTCACTGTGATTGCATAAGTAAAAATACCTGCGTTGTTTAAGAAGTGATCATATCATAAAATCAGTTAGTAGAGATTTATTTGGAAAGAAATGTAGCTGTGATTTTGTGATTTCCACTTCTGAGGGAAATTGTTAAACTATCCCAGGCATATCAGAAGTTTCTAAAATGTCTAACAAAATAAATTAGGACGGATAGTTTTGTGTTTGACTTTCTATAAGTTTAGAGACTGCGTGAGACCTTTGTATGGCAAGGGATTAGATTGTTATAATCTTAAACACAATTTTGAATTGTGCTGCGCTGAAGCCGAGAATCTCAAATTCCTTTCTACCGAAAAGATGATTTTTCGAAATGAAACTTACCTCATTCAGCTAATAATGAAAGTATTGTAACCGAGAGCATCTTAACAACCGTCAGCCAACTGATCAGGAAAGTTTGCACGTACGCGGGTGCCCTCGATTGTTTTCACTTTGTAAACAGTTTGCAGCTTTTGAGTGTCAATGTTTTAGCTTCGTGTTTACGTAAGTGATTACGTTAACCTCTGGTCGTGTGCGATGACTGCCGAATTGGTTACTCGACAACGTGTCAACAAAAGACAAAACATCCAGCTTTGAGGAATAAACAAACTGACTCGCGTTCCAGTTTTCAAAAACTGTTTATTTATAATCAACAAGAAGATATTGTAAGTAATATTTGCTGAAATTACATCGCGTTTTCTTTGCCAATGGACCATAACAGATTACACACCTGACACAAAAGAATATATTTGCCAGAGGATTGTATTTTGAATGTACAATTAGTCAACACGATGAATTTAGAAGCGTTAACTATCAAATAATATTGAGAAGGTTTTAAACATTACTCACAGAGGAATCCATATTTTAAAACCACCTTTATAAAGAAAGAATCAAATAATGAATTAGTCGAGAGGTAAAGGTATTAAAGCTAATAGTAAGTATGATTGTCTGGATAAGTGAACTATTTAAGTGATCACCAATTTTTCATCTGACTTCCCCTCCGCGAGACATGAAATTAGTGCCAATCACTTTCATGGACATTAGCTCTTTTCAGGACAATACGCGCTTCTTGATCGACCGTTCTTTCTAACTTTAAGCAGTTTCTACCGCGAACATTTCTTCTTGTCATGCAGCTGGAAGTTCAAGATCAACGAGTGTTATCGACGACACTGAACAATATCGAAACCACGGATAAATGGTCTTTGGTATTACTGCTTTTTTTCTCAGAAACTTTACAGATTTCTAGTTTAAGCAATCCTCTTTGAAAGTGTTGGTATATTGTAAAGTGGCACCCGAGTTTATAGAGCAGTATCCAAAAATTTCATTTTATTCTCGTATCGTAACCAAGTGTTGATATCTCTGACCATGTTCAAGCCATTTGCATTAATCTCAGACATACCTCAATCGTCTCTTGACGTCATTTAATGACTGAGTAACATTAGCTGGCTAATTAGTGGTTGACTTAAAAATTAAAACAAGACATGTCAGAAATATCATATGATCATTACATTATGGTGAGCCTGGGAGAGAAATCAACTGCCCTTAGCAAAACAACCCAGATGCGTAACTATAGCGCGTGAGTGCATCAAAAAATAGGGGGGAGGGGAGGGGCGGGAATGAAGCACTAGAAAGAATATCACCCCCTTTCTTTGCCAGAGTGATTAAAGTAACAATTTTTGAAATGAAAAAAATCTACTCCAGACACTCTGAAGTAGGACCCTCCCCTCCCCTGTTAAGGAACTCTGCTAGCAGTCCTTTGTCGAAACAAAAAGCGAACAAGTCGTCAACACTTAATATATTTTGAGCTTTAAGGAAAGGAAATTAGTTTCTTTTCGGTAGCCATCAAAAAAAGAAAAATATCCTTTTCAATAAGTATTTAAAGCATGAAATGTCACAGACATCTAACGTGAATTATATTGAGTAACATTAAGGATGAAAATGCAATAAAGTGATATTCTCCAAATTATTTTTTTCCGTTGATTCATGCAGTTCTAACTTTTTTTGTTGATTTGGTATGTTTTTGATACTTTGAGACAACATTCGATGCTCACCAAAATATTGAAACCCGCACCGTAAATCGTTTCTTCCCGTTCCAAAGAGCCAAAAAACATATATGGAAATGAGTTTATCAAAACAAATCTGGCCAATCTGGTCAGGGAATGGGCAAGCTTGGATGACCACCACTAATCGTATGTGAGAAACAATTCATTATTTGTCGCTGATGGGTCAGGTGGGGAATAGATGGTTTTCATTATTCAATTTTATTATTATTATTATTTAATTATTTCCATAGGGAATGGGCAAGCTTGGATGACCACCACTAATCGTATGTGAGAAACAATTCATTATTTGTCGCTGATGGGTGAGGTGGGGAATAGATGGTTTTCAGGGGGAACGGAAGAAGGATCAGTCGTCACTAATAAAGTATATAAGTGTACTTAATAATATTGGCTGCAAATTTCCTGCAAATGAGTGGGTTTTCTTAAAAATATTACGGAGCAAGGAAATATTTGAGGGGACAGAGAAGTTTCATAAGGGGCTGGGGGGGAAAAATTTAAACTCCAGTTTTTCCCCAAAGGAAACAAATCAACAAACGCTGTCCCTGATAAGATTTGATTCTTCTTTATTTAGACAGTTGATTTTACTCGATAGTAAAGTACAGCTTGATTATTCAATCAGCGAAAACTATAATTAACATGCGTTTTTTAATAGAGTTTTAAAGCCGATGTAATGTGTTTTGAAACTAGATTTAAACTCGGCGAGTTAGCATCACACGTTGTAGATCTTAATGGTTGTGATAATATTATAGCTGACTAAATTTTTTATTAAAAGAGCGACACCCGTGACTTTCCGGTTATTAAATGTTTTAGAGGAAATTTTCTCAGATTTGATGGTTTTTTAGTTTTGTGAACGTCTTTCGAGCGACAATTTTCTCTTCCGCGTGCGCACTTTCATTGAAAAGCTTAGCGAACACATCTTTATTTGGGCCAACGTTATGACGTGAAAAGGGGTAGAAAAACCTTACGGCCATGGGTGCGGTTTCTGCCTCTTTTTTGGGACCTGTTTTCCCTATTAAGAAGGTCACGATTCAGAGGAAATGATTTTTTACCGACGCAAAATGACACCTTTTATAGAAAGGTGCTTCTCGTCGGCGAAGCCAAAAAGCAGATTTTCAGTATCGATTATAAAAAAGTTTGGCTTGTGATTTACTCTTGAACTTCCAACAGTTTCTCCTCGTCTAAAACGGCCTTTATTTCAAGTTTACCACCTCTTCTCAACCGAAATTTTCCCTTGAGTCCCGCCAAACAGCGGAAAAGTTAACTCTTCACAGATCCAACAAAAACTGAGATGATCAAAGAGTGACCAGGAAAGTTGCGGTACAATGTGTACGTAGTAAGCTCGCCTGACAGAAAGTCTTCAGACAGCTTATATCATTACAGAAAAAACAAAGTGTAACGTTTGTTCACAAACTGGTTGACTCATCTCACCTTGCTGATTTGGTTTTTCCTCGAGGTTTACCTTCTGAATACTCCAACTAGGTTTTTCTCTACTTTGGTCACATTACCTCTTTATAGCCCACAATATATATTTTATTTTTTCTTTTACTATGAGAATCGATTTACCCTCGGAAAAAAAGATGTCATTTTACGCCAGTGGTCCTTTACCTCTCTACGATGACCTTTTTCTCTGTCTTCAAACTGGCCGCTGGGATGAGTTTCTGCTGCCCGCTCTTTATTATCACTTGACAAAGCGTTCAACCGTTTGCGCGTGTGCGGATATTTCGTTTTCAAGCTGTCAAAGTCAATGGTAAATTACTGGGGTAACAAAGTATCCGTAGTTGAATAAACTTCGTGTTCAAAAAATCTGTATTTTTCCTTTGTCAAACTTTTGTTGTTTTCTGTCATTGACTCAATTCTTTCCTTAGATTTTGCGTCAGACAGGTTGCTTTGTATCCTCTCCTTTACCATTTTGCGCGGGGAATTTCCAGCCAAAATTGTTCCACTTGTGTGTTTCAAAAGAGATTAACTGTTTCCGTGCACAGTATCCCCGTTTAGGTATGTTTTTTTCCTTCTCTTTTCTTTTCTTTTCCTTTTTTTTTTTTTTTTTTTTGGGGGGGGGGGGGGGGGGGGGGAGGAAGACTTAAAAAAAGAGCTAACATGTGCTGTCAGTGTTTTGGAAAGCTCAGTTTTTAGTTTTTTACCCATGGGTCAATTCTCTGTTGACCGTCGCTTTTAGACCGTTGTTTGTAGAGATCGAAAAGTACGCTTTACGTTGAGCGATAGCATAGACGGTTGAATATACATGTCAAAAGTAATTTGTGAAAGAAGATGGTGTCGAATACACTCAAATGTAGAGGAAAGGCGACAAAAAGTTTCGTCTGGTTCTTCTTTACCTTGGGGTAGCACCGACGAGGGGTAGTTTTCGTTTGCTGGTACTCCACAAGCACTAAATGGAGCAATTTTTTGTAAATATCTTGCCACTGATGAGATGATTGCTGACATTCTAACGAGGCCTTTCCCTAAGCACCGCTTCGAGAAACTAATCTTCAGGTCGTGAAGCTACGTTTTAATTATCTAATTTAGATGGACCTACATACAAACATAATACACTCTGAAGGAAAGTGGCAAAAATTCTTTCTACTTGATCGCCTCTACATTTTTGTTGCCACCTCTATGTTACCATCCTTTATCAAGTTTTTCTTTATTTTAAGCGTGAAATTCAATTATAAAGAAAAGAACACATTTAATACGTATACGTGCGAAGCATTTCAGCCATTTGCCAGTGATCACGGGGTAATGTACACTACAGTCCCGATCTTTCAGTCTAATTCTCGAGTATATGATCTATTCCTTTCACCATTTATCTATTTCCTCTCTGTTTAGAAGTCACAGGCTCGCATTGTTTCCATTAGATAATGATATTCTTCGTCCTCTTTTGAGAATCCCGCCATAACCCTATCAAGCCGCTGAAACAATTCATACCCTCTTTTCTCTAATTTCCGAAGATGAGAGTTAGCGACATCCTCTTGAAATCGAACTTTCTTCCTTTTTTTACCTTTGCAGTGTTCGTCATGGCTCATTCTTCCCAGTGTTTTCAAGAATTTGCTAATTCCATCGAAAAATGATTTTCCTCTTGAGTATTTCGGCTGTTTTTCTCCTGGTTCTTGGCCCGTTTTTCCCCTCAAAGCTTTGATGGCCTCACTGATTTGGTCAAAGTTGATTTTTGAACTCTTCTTGGAATCAAGGGTAATGCTTCTATCTACTGCTTTTTTCTCTCCCGTGTTTGATGCTTGGGAGACTTTCAGTTGTCTCAGTCTACTGCTAACAGAATCGAAAAATGTGTTCCGTTCTTTTGAGCCTTTGCAACGAACCTCATCAACGAGCTCGTGCAACTCACTTTCGTTCGCGGTAACCTTTGCATCCAGAAGTGCATCGTTTATTACGCCGATAAAAAAGTTCATGCAGATAATTGTTAGGGTGAAAAGAATAGCAAAGACGAATATCTTAGCGTATGTGCTGTTTACCTCTGCTAATTCACTGATTGGTCTGGCTTTCACTCTTCCAAGAGTCAGTTCGAGTTGGAAATAAGCTGCTTTTAGCACAGAGGAGTAGCGCTCAGATCCAGTGCCAAACATCAATACACCGGCGTGAAGAAATGCCGCGAAAAGAATCAATAGGACAATGCTAAAGGATGAAAGAGATTGTGCAGATATCGTCAATGCTTTGGAGAATACAGCAACATGTTTATTGAAGCGAATGACTCGCAAGAGTTTTGCAGTGACGATAAACATCAGGATTCCAAGTACAACATTTTCTGCTTCATGCCAAATGATAGCCTTTTTGAAACTTATATTTGCATAACTGTTTTCTTTTAACCTTGCCCATGTTGAAGAGACTATGATTTGTCGTTTTATGTACAAAACCACGGCCAACACGGAGAAAACAACCTGGGACATCTCCACCCAATTCCACACGGACTGGAAATACCGGGAACGGTGATTGTAAAGCTTGAAGCATTCTCTTCCCAAAAACAGCAGAACGGATACAGCGTATAGTAAAATGCAAATCAAATAGAACTGATATGAAGCTGTGTTTGTAGGATCAAGAGAAAGAATGTCAGTTTGTACCAAAGCTTCTTTGAGTCCTGATGCCTCAACTTCGTAAAAGTATGTGGCAACACCTAAAATATTCACCGACGGGTTAAACACGGAAAACTGTGCGAGAACCGCCCGGGTTTGCCTGTCAAGCCAACCGTTGTTTTGCAAAGTGGTTACGGCTTTGAACCCCGTATGGTTCTTGTACCCGAGGTCTGCTACAAATCCTCCTCCACGATAAAATGAGAACTGTCCCCACTCTGACCCGCTATCACTTTCTTCCGCATTTTGATATCGCCATGGCTTCGGGCAAAGTCGAAATAAATCTTCGTCTCTTGTAGAGTTGTCGACAAACCTCCAGCCCGGTTCATAGAAAGCGGTCTTGTCTTCGTTTGTTTCCGAATATCCTTCGTAACATTCCTGGAAAGTTGTCTTCATGTATTTTAACACGTTGCATGGTGCTGTAAGTTTAATAAAAAAGGGACATTTATTAGAAAGTTTGTTTTGGAACTAATTCAATCTACAGGTATAGCACATCTCCCATATTCTTTATCGTGTAGGAAAATTTAGTTAATCAAAGTGCTCTGTGAGCAAACTCGTGAATTGACACATGATTTTTTAGATTATGTTTAATGTTATCTGGTTTAGGGAATTTTGTGGTTGATTGTCATATCTAGAGTACGAGCAGTAGTTCAGTGTTCGCTAATGTAGCAAAGAAACAAAGTAACGTTGGGATAAGAAGGCATTACAATTGAAATGATCATGCTATTACATTTGAAAAGGGTGGATGATGTCATGTGTTTTAAGCATATATCATTTTTGTTTCTGTTTCAAAAGAAAAGATTGTAAGTAAATGTGGGTGAAAAGTGAAATTTATTGTCTATCGCTGTAAATATTAGAAAATCAAGGTAATGCTGTCTTATTGAAAACATTAACGATTCCCTCTTTATCAAATGAGACAAACGGGAACGAGTTTTGAGTGATATAACTAAGCCGAGCCTGCCACCGTCATTTTGGATTCCGCCTGGGTAGATTTGAGTCACGTGCTAGGCAACGGTTATCAATAACAGATTTTCATTTCAGGCCTATTTATTTGGTGTGGTGTGTAACTTTCGCATTTTAGTACGTTGTATGTTGAATCTTCAAATTGTCTTGAAACTTAAAAGAAAATTGTTCTTTAAAAATTCACTGAAAATCGGTAGCTAAAATTGTTTGTTTAGGTGTTATTTGATTTTCGTGTTAACTTGTTATTCCGTCAGACGCCGGCATCTTCTATTGCTTCACACAGGAAAAACACACGCAACGAAACGTAATGATCATTTTTGTCCTCAGTCTCACGCCATAACAGAAAAAGCTTTTGAACATCCGTAAACTCCGAGCGCTTCGCAGTAAGTGATATTTTCAAGTTCAAGGATTGTAAATTACAATTTTATGAAAAACGAAGGTTGTTCTGTTATTTCAGTGTGAATCCTTGCATGCCTGCCAGTCGCTGGCGCCGCTTGTTGAAACTAAAACGAAAAAAAAAAAACTCTTTTAAGATTATCATTGGCTTCTTTTTCACCCCACTACTATTAGCAACAAAGGTCGCCATTTCGTCTGTTTACTGCTCGCCAAAAACTATCAAATGCACTCAAAAGCCTAAAATCTAAAAAAAGTTTTTAGGAATCGACCAATCGAGCGAGCGAGCGAGCGAGCGAGCGAATGCCATTCCCCACATCGTATCTATAACTCGCTCTTGCGCATGCGCGCAATTCACGAGTTAAAAACCGGATATTCACTTGTGCCCGTTTTTTCTCTTTAAAAGGTGTATAGACCAATACAAAATAAAGTAGAATATCAAAATCTTGACAACGTATGCCTAACACTTTGACAGAAAAAAAAATTATATTTTCTGGGCGTCTCCTTTAGGGTGAGTTAGACTTAAAAGTAAATAAAAGAAAGGACTTACTCGATTTCACTCTCAGTTGCCTTAATCGAGCCATCCCGACGAGAAGAGAGCGTTTATTACCAATGTACATTGTTTTTTTCTCTTCCTGACCGTTGTACCATCTACCGGAAAACACTCCAGGAATGAAAACTTCCCGCAGCCAGCTCCAGTACTTCCTGTCATCTGCCATCTGAGTTCAATGAAAATTAATACGTTACTTACAATTTGTGACTACATCACCTTTCGTATCGCTTATTGTGGATATGATGCTTAAAAACAGACTAAATAAAAAGAAAGTCAAGAACGGGAGATGTGTTGGTCGGATTTCACGGACTGGGATGGAGGCATGACTCGCTGGTGGATCAGGAACATTTAGAAACAGGTAAGGGAGCCAAGCCATTATGATGCAAAGTCTGAGAAGAATTGATACAGATTCTAATCAAAATTCGAAATGTGATCATAACAGTTGTTCTATACACAACCCACGGACTTGAAAAGTAGCAATAATTCCCTATAAAGAAAAGAGGTGTTTACGCTTTGGAGGATACGTTTATGTCGTGAAAATAGATTTCAAATAGGGTTTGGCAATCCAGAATCAATCGTTGGGTAATATCAGTCTTTTAACGATTTCTCCAAACACAATAAATGTTACTCACATTGTTAAAATTGGGCAGTCCATCTCGAATTGATCTGGTCATTAGGTAACGATGGTCATTTCTGTTTCCATAGCACACTACCATTAACAAGAAAACGAAAACCAAGTAGATACCCAACTCTGTGAAGTAACGTGACAGGTTCTGTTTCTTGGCCTGGCGTTTCCTCATCTTTTCTACTTCCGATAATTTCAACGTCCACAGCCTTTGTTTTGAGCGACCACTTTCAACTTGATTAGAGTCTTCACATGCAGGTACCGTTGATCTCTTCGCCTTCATCTTGATAATGGCCGCCAAAACTACAGCTGTAAAGAACACTTTAACTGGTTCCATGATTGTGACATCTTGAGCAAAGGAGATAAGCATTGAGGACAGCCACTGCTCACTGACACTCTTTTCCCAAATCAGGCTATAGAAGATTGTAAACGTAGCAGAAATAGCACAAGAACCGAAAAAAAAGAACCAGGCGATACTTTTGATTAGATTAGCTTTATAGCAAGGACTGTTGTTACTCGAGGACTTTTTGGATGCTTCTTTAAATAAAAGCACTATTAGTATGTTTATTGGTGCCACAATGAGCGCGCTTTCAATACCAGTAACTACTTGTCTCCACGAGAATTCCAACGGTCCAACTTGAAAAGGTTGTTCATATCTGCCATGTAGCTCATAAAACATCGCGTTTGCAAACATGGATGTCAAAAGCACTGAAAGGCAGCAAGAAACCCGCTGTACTCTTGAAAAGTGGCTTCTCTTTGGTTTGGCAGCGACTGAAACCCAAATATGTAGCTCTGTAAGCCCTCTCCGCCAGCGTCTTGCAACCTCACTGGCAAAGTCCATTTGAGATACCGTTGCTTGAAACATTCGCTCGATACGCCCGTCTCCGCGCTCAAGAGCAAACCACTGACTGACCATAAATTTCCAAGACTGATTGGATTGTACGTCCCGAATGAAAATTTCCTCCAAAAACCACGAAGGACTGTCACCAAAGTTGTTATGACCAATCTTCACTTCTTGAATCACACCAAGTGATTTGTTAACATACAGTACAAACACGGCCGAGTTACCGCGAGAGAAGAACGCGTCAATTGAACCAGTCTCTTCCTGGCTTAGCTGAAGAATGCCACTCCTTCCGTCAGAACCGTAAATCTCCATAGCAACTTGAGCTGTTGTGCCTGAGTATATCCAGACTCCTGTAGTTATTACTATCTCGTATTCATATGTACTCTCTGGAGAGGATGGCAAATGGACTGGTAAAACGTTCTTAAGAAAAATGATAATACCATTAATGAATCGGTGATTTACTTTTTTTACTTTTTCCCTTACTTAAAGAAAAAAAAAATATATATATATATTGATGATATTAAAAAACTTGGAAACCTTAAATGATTCTAAGTGATTTCTTCCAGTTCGGTGATCACTTTTTTCCAGGATACTTAGAAAAATATGAATCTGCAAGTTTTCAAAGCGTATTACGTGCTGCATAATACAAAATATGTTCAGAACTTACATTTTTAGAGTCTTCTATGTCTGTTTTCCTGACGATAACAAGCACAATCACGTAACTTAAGAAAACCAACGCCATCGCCAAAATAACTGTGATATTTCCAGATTCTGGCAACTTTTGAATCTGCACTTGAACCTTGTCGAGGTCGATAGGATTCGGTTTAACCAAAAGACTTCCCCCGAAGGATGTCAGGTGATCGCAGCTGCAGTTAATAAATCTGTTCGATGCTCCTAAAATCTGGAATTGTCCAGAGAGAAAATCACTGTTTCGGTTTTCAGTGCTAATGATGTGCCTTGTCCATTCAAAGGTATTCAAAGGTCGTGATTAGCTATGAGAATAATTATATTTTTAACGATGGAAGACTACACACGGGCTCGACAAGGTTTTGTCTTTTCGATTTTTAGTTGCCAAATAAGCGAAGATGATCACAATGAAGCACTCATTTTTCCACAATTACGTGAAACCCACGAATTCTCTGAAAAGTGTCTGAACTAATTCCACATTATAAAAATTATTCGATAATGTTAACACTTTACAGCAACTCACCCGACAGCCTTTTGTTACCCACATCTCAACTTTCGCTGACCAGTATACACAGCTACCGAAGGCCACCCTCAGAGTGTAGTTCTGATCGGTTTTGGAATCATAAGCTGGTGTCACATATGCAGTTTTACTCATGGGTAGGGCAGGTGGGGGATCTTTGACTTCGACGCAAGACCGCTTTTGCCGTCCAGCGATAAAACACGATCTTTTCTTTCTCCTGTATGGGGTGGTCGTGGTGGCATTATAGTTTTTTACGCCTACAAAGTATTTCCCAGGATGCCTGGCCAATGTTGCTATCGGGGTAAGTGGGTTCGACGAGCATTCCGGTTGTCTCTCCTTTTTGTCATGCGCACTTGCAGTCCAAACGCACTGTCCATTTTGAGAGATTGTGGCATTGAGATCGTAGTTTTGAGTCGTTGGCCGTTGACCGAATCGCAAGTAAACAAACAGATGTACAGTTGGCTCTTGGGGTTTGACTTCTAGCTGCATCAAAGTGTTTTCGTAATTGACAGTTATCTCGTGGAAACGTAAATCGTCATCCGTCGTGAAGTACCATAGCTCCTTCGGTAGTGTCCGAGGTTTTGATGGAATAACGATGACAATGTCGTCTGGTAGACTTGATACTTCCAATAGCTCGCTTTTATTGTCCTTTAGGTCCAGAAATAGAACTTCAGAGTTGACTCGCTCCCTGGTGCTGTCCCAGGTGTAGGGGTTGAATGACATTGATAGCATCTGCAATAAGAATAAATCAAAACTTTTTGTTGACTTTAAGGAATTAAGGATTAAGAGACATGATAATTATCGCTAACTGACCATAATTACGGAAGCCAAACGAGAAAAAGAGTTCAGGATGGCTAACAAAGACTGTACCTTCGAATGCGTTTGCTCTTGGGTTATCAGACTTTCCGAAGTCACTCACGACTGAATCGATTTTGACACGCGCTCGTTTCTTAATTTGATGTAATCCCTTACCTGGGTGTCGACAAAACTTGTTGTGTTTCTTCCTGTGACAGGCCATGGTGGTAAAATGAAACTGCCACTTCCACCCTTTATCTGCAGCCCTGCAAGTTTACTCAGGCTATGTCGCCCTAATGTCATGTTCAAGTGACCGGTGGAGATCGATATCATGTTTTCATCTGGGACTCTCAGGGCTAACAATGCGTCTGCAACTTTTCTAAGCACTTTAAGGGCAGTATTAACAGATTTTTCACCCTGTAAAATGAAACAAAACATCACAAACAAACAAGTAAAAATAACGAAAAGAAGCAAAGCTAAACTGACGAAAAGATCTTAGCAAGGACAATTAAAAATTTTTTGACAACTTTAGCACATTAATTTGACAGTAGCACCAACCTGACACGCAATGTGTCAATTAAAAACGAGGGAAGCCGACTCAAGTGCAGCTTGAAGTTTCATATGTAACTAGATTTCGCTGTTAGACTACAACAGCCAATAAAATACCTGCTCTTGGAAGCTTAAGGTGGAATCTATTGACGCCATCTCTGCGGATATCTTTAACACCCTTTGAAGACACCAAACTAAGTTTTCTGCCGATCGAGTGACTAACGACAAATCAGCAACGTCCTTCAACTGGACGGTTGACCATAAGAATTTCGTTTGCGAGTCGACAGCCGATAACGACAGTTCCTGAAAGTACATCATGCACAAACATGGAATTATTCTTTCGTAAGATTTGCTGCTCAGCACAATACATTTCTATTTCTAAGAGTCAGGAGTTAGAGAGGAATCGTCGCCTCTAAACCAAGTTTGTTCAGGTTAAGGAATTTTAAAACGCACTTAAACTTCTTTCAAACATTTTTGCCTTTGCTTGATTAACTAAACCAAAACAACCATGACAGCGCTGAAGAACTCTGGCATATGAAAAAGCAGTCAAAAGTTTATATCATTTTGTCAATTATCGCAATTTCATATTCCTCTACATGTGTCTCATTCTTTCTGACAAACGTTCGATCTAATTTTACCTACCAATGACTCGGGAGAGACCTTTTCCAAAACGTGAAGAGCAGAACCAATCACGGAGGAGCTTTGAAGCAGGTCTGCAGTGTTGTTTACTTTCACTGACGCAATATTTTTTATTATAAAGTCTATAACCTTGAAATGTAATGAAGTTCAATCGAATATATTAATGCAAGAACCTTCTAACATGCGACTATACGACAGCACGGGTACAAAAATATAAACAACTACACGAATACTGGAATGCACGAGTACACTACCACACGACTACATGAGTGCACGAATACACGAATAAATTAGTTCACATAAATACTATTTATCACATAAACTGCGGTGTTATACAGGGATTCCCGGCCCTGAGAAAAGCCGTAATAACACACGTGAAAAAATATCGTATTTTTAACGTGTGTTGATAAAGCCAATCAGCTGCTGACACGTCACTCGCCTTTGGCGCCACTCGGTCTGGTTGATGAATTAAAGGCGAAGCCTTCACGATTCTGAATTAAAGTTGTTTGTCGGAGCTTTCTCGAATTATGGCGGCTAAAACACTAAAAATCCGTATTGCTGACAGACAGTGAGGTTGAAACTTTCTTAGAAGGGGAAGAAAACCAATATACTAAAAGAAAAACCGAAAGCTACATATTCAGTGGCTTTGGACAACTGGAAGATTTGCCACTAGCCGATTTTGGCCGTTTACCTGAAAGACCTCTTCTGTCGGTAAGGACAAAGTCAATAACTGAGAATTTTGTAAATTGAAAATTACGACCATTGTTGTTTTTTTAATCATGATTCAACGCATTTTTCCATCTTAGGAGCTAGGGCCAACGTAGTCTACGATTATTATTCTGGGAATGTCGATTCATTTATTTTAATTCATAAATGAAGTCGGCTTTTCTTCTCAGTAAAGAGCTATTGTGTTTGTATGATAAACAAAGTAATTCATGGTTGCAGATATGGAATTTCTCTTCTCGTGTTCAACTCGACATCTCACTCTTTCGCTGCTCGCTATCGAGTTCTCCTAGTATCTCCTTATACTGATTATTTGACTTCATGCAATTATAAAAGTCATTAGTACTGTATGTGCAAATACTTGGATACGCAGAGATATCATTATGCTACTACACGAATAGTGCGTCCATGAAATATAAAACATTTGTAATTGCATTTACCTTGATTTTCTTCTCCAAATTCATCTTGGTTTCTTGTGTAACAATTTGAAGGACAGAGTTTGCTAATTGTGCCGCTTTTCCCAAGTCTCCTTTTCTGATGACTTCCTGGATCATGGCCTCCAGGCTTGTGATTTCATCTGGTCTTAGACTCTCGGAGGGCTTAACCTATGGAAAGAGCATCAGTCACTATTTAGTGAGTTGCATGTTTAGAAAAATTTGCCTTTCAACCTCCGATGGGTAGCTGTCAAAAAAGGACAAAATTATGTCAACAAAATTTCCCATGTACATCAATATTACAGAACCTACCAACTTAACTTACCTGTACTGTTAGATTAACAGGAGAGGCAGAAATTCCGAAGTTATCAGTCACAACAACGTTGAATCTCATGGTAAAGTTTTCTGCATTGTTCCCAGGCGGTATCCCAAGAGTAACTATGGAGTTGTTGACGCCATGATATAACACAGTGTACATACCGTTCTCTAGTCTATATTGAAACCGGTAGGACAGAGGGGTGCTGTCACTTGTCCAGTTGATACAGCTCAGATTAAAGTGTGATTCCAAGGAGATGCCACTTGACGGAGTGATCGAGCATGTCCCCCTTGTGGGCGGTAACGCGGTGGAAATGTCGTAGGCTGACATCGCCCATAAACCGTCGTTAGTTGTGATAAATAATGCCAAGCGGTACATATTTCCAGCAGCAAGGGAACCTCCATTTATAACAATGTTGCTTGCATTTAGTGGTGTACTTGTAATGAGTTCTAAATCATATTTTCTTTGCCAAGCAGTGGACGCGTTTCCCTCATATCGCTGGTAGAGTATCCACTCATATGAAGAAATTTTGAAGCACTGTAATCCCTTGCATTCTGATCGGACACTAAGTCGTACTGAGGGGCTGATTTTAGGCAGACAATTTATGAAACACCTGAAATAAGGAACGAATGTCGATTACTAAATGAGAATGTAGATCAATGTAGCGTAACTACGGCCTTGCTTGTTGAGAACAATGGTGGTCATAATAACTGCAACAGAGGAAGAAAGGCAAAATACAGCAGCACTTCGGGCATACAAGACAAGACATCACAAACAAACAACAACAGCAATGGCAAAATCAACAGCAACAACTTCAACTGAAGCAGAAGCAACAATAAGAAAATAGGAAAATAAATAGGGATATCAGTAGCAACAAAAAGAACAAGCAACAGCCACAATGATAGCATCGACAACACGCCAACTTTCTTACCTTTGATATATTTTAGGGGGATCTCCATTCGAGAAATGGATGACTTGATAAGCGCTAGCATTGCGATAGTCTTTGGTCACAACCAGTCTAACTATGCAGATATCACCAAGAGACATAGCCCCTGTATCCAAGGAAATTTGCACGCCAGATGCTCTTCCATTATATTGAAAAGCTGACTCGTTTACCGCTATAAAGAAGTCTCTTTTCCTTCCCTGCACATAGGAGTAATTCCCTGTGATCTTACCATAATGCCAAGTAAAGTTCATTCCCGATTGGTCACCATGTGCAGCCTCAGGGTCATATGAGAGTGAGCCATCCAATGTGATGTTTTCTTTGAGTCCTCGAATCACCTCAGCTCCGCCAGAAATGACTGCAACAAGGTCCTGCGTCTTACCTAAAAGCCGTTGTAACAAAAAGCAAAAGTTTGTTACTTTTTAACCTTAGCTTACTGTTAATCAGAATGGTTCTGCTTTGTCATCAGTGTGCCTTGACAAAGCTGAAGTAGCCATTGGAAGACACATTCAGATTGCTTTTCCAAATTTCCAACGAAACTTTTTTCTTTAGATTGGCATATAATAGTAAACAGAACAGAGTTCCTAAGATTTCTATCATGGAATCATTGTAACATTACCTCAAGAAATACCCCTTACTCAAAATACTAAAGAGTTTCTCTTGTATACCCGTTTATGTTCGGTTATGAAACTAGCCACAATAGCGTTTTTCAGAAACACGAATTAGACTACTGGATACTGTCTTTCCCACACTTTTAAGACAAAGCCCTCGCTACAGAAAGGGGTGGCGTGAAAGCTGAAAAGATGCCAAGTGAAATCGGAAAAAGCCTAACTTTCGGAAAATAAGCAACCTTCAGTTGTTGATGATGATAATGAAGTCGGTGTTGGTAAAACTGTCATTGTTGTCGATACTGTCCATGTTGGTGATCCTGTGTAGGTTGGTGATGCTGTGTATGTTGGTGATGCTGTCCATGTCGGTGATGCTGTCCATGTTGGTGATGCTGTGTAGGTTGGTGATGCTGTCCATGTTGGTGATGATACTGTTAATGATTCTTCTGATGACGAAAGGATGAAAAAAAAAGAAATATTAACATTTATCTAATTAGTTTGAAAAGCCTCCTCTCTTCTTTGAAGACAATACCATACACGTTTTTAATATGAATATGAGGCAATTTAAGTAAAGGTTAATAGCGACTAATTAGTATTATAAAGGAATGGCGCACATATTGTTCGAAGTAAAAGAAATAAAAAACAAGGTCAACAAGGCTTAGTTAATGCCATGACTAACTTTCACCAAAGAAGGCTGAGAGCCAAAGAAAGAGGGCTAACTACGAACTCTCAGCTCGTAAGAACATACAGGTAGATAGGCAACCGCTAAAAGGAAAGCACTCGGCGAACAGTGTAAAAAAACAGTGAATAGCCGAATGAAGGAATGAATTTTCGACCTTAAAGAGCTTATTTATACACTTGCAAATAAAAGCGATGGAAAATATATCAGTATGTTCTCTGACTCTTAAAAAGCTAGCTGTAACAATACCGGAAGCAGAAAAAAGCCTAAGACGCAAAGAGCGTCGACACACTTTAAAATGTAGCCTTTTAGCTAAAGATGGGGAGATAAAAGAAAAATTCCGAAAAAAATTCTCAAACTGTCAACTCTCTGAAAGTCAATCAGCGTGCTATCAAAATGTCTTAAACTCATCCCAACACCCGTGACAAACGAATGTAAAATTAGGCAACAACTCTTGCGAGATTATGAACAATTTGCGAGACGCGTGCGCCTCTACATCTTTCACGGACAAAACAAAGAAACGCACCCATTTTATGTTAAATCAAACTAGATGCCATCGGTTCAGCCCTCTATTGTCCTTGAGAGCTACTTAGAAAGTGTCAAAGCACAACTTGAAGAGGTTACTGTAACTAAGCCAAAACATAATTTGTCACGCAATGAGGTCACAGCTCTGCAAGAGTTGAAAAACAACTCTGCTTTAAACCTCAAAAAAGCAGACAAAGGTGCAACAACAGTCATCACAAATAAGACAAAAAGATAGAGGAGGTCAAAATTGCAACGCGACAGCAGAGTAGTAGAATTCACTACAAACCTCTCAGAGCACCATTAGTAAAAAGCACGCGGAAAAGGTTTAATGAGATCATTAACCAAATCGGGGCAAAAACATTGATGACATGACTAAGAAATGGCTTCTCAAACTCCCAATCCGCTCAGAATACCAATATTCTATACGCTCACGAAAATACACAAACCTATACCGGTCGATAGACCTATGATCTCAGGTTGTGACGGCCTTACTGAGAGAACATTAGCCTTTTAGGAGACACTACTCCAGCTTATCGCACAACTGTTTCCACCCTACTATTAAATTCACGGCTGAAATATCAGAGAACTAAATCACTTTCCTCGATACAACAGTGTTTAAAGGGGAACGATTCGCAAAACATTCCATCTTGGACATTAATACCGATTGATGTGTGCTATGCCAGAGGACACTATTGGAATACATCACAAATACCCCGACCATCCCCACTGTTAACACCACTGTGAGAGGAAAAGATTAACAAGTAATGGCTTTTGTCAATTCATTCATTTTGTAGCTTTACTTTTCTAAGAACGTGTTATTTGTTGTACTTTGTTTGGGCGTAGAGTGGTATTTTGCTCGCAGCAATCAGACTGCCGCATTAGGGTATGTATTTCGCAGCGATCAGATTGCCGTTTGCTTTGCATGTATTTCACACCAATCAGACTGCCGCATTAGGGTATGTATCCCGCACCAATCACATCATAACATTTGGATATCTGCCCCAATCACAGCGTTTTGGTATTGTTTTCTTGTAAATGATGTTATGGAATCAGAGGGCCGTGCGCAAAGAATTACATTAACCTGAAATTTTGAACTCATTTGGTAAATGAAATGGTTCGTGGCCTTCGCAAGAGCCTTGTCGATGTAGGTTGAGATTTATCGGGATATGAAAGGTTCGCATTTAACTTTTTGTATCATTTTTAAGTTTAAAAGCGTTTTATCCGCTCCTTTTCATACAACGGCCACTGAAAAAGCTTACTTCCGTCGCGTACTATGAAAACAACGTTCGAAGTCCAATCAAAATATACCTAATCATTGCACTGGATGAACATTTAGTAATTGCTTGGATTGTATTCCACCAATAAAATTCCATTTGGCCTCATTAGATTCACTCCATGTTTACACTTCACGTGTCATTTCATCTTAAACACCCTGCATTTTATCAGATATTCGAACCGCATTATCCAACACTACTGAAAAAAATTCACATGGGACCAATGGCTGCTAAAAGTGAATTTTCCACTCAAGAACAATTTGTTTCAGAAGACGATAATTGGCATGGTTCTCAACCGATATGAGTCACAAGCTCTTCACAAAAAGATAACCCACTTCACATCATCATGTGTTATCATCTAACAAAGCAATTGGACTGAGAATTCTTTGCAACTGGTATTCACCATCAGTTTCATTACCGTTGTTATTCGTAAAAGTGATAGTAAAAGAACCATCTGTAACTTTCCCCAGTTCACAAGGTTGAAGGTAGACATGTATATCGTGAAAACGTTCATTGAGATTGTTTCAAACATATTTTAATTTACGCAAAGGTAAGTGTAACCTTGATTCTGACTGTCTGAGGGTTTTTATAACTTCTCTCGTGAGTACCACAAACGTTGGCAAATAATGTTTTTATTGCCCTTAAGCGCTTCTAGTGCCTTTGAGTTTACTCAAAATAACAATACAAAAAAGGAAAAAAACAACAACATATCAACTCACCCTTAGGGATCTCACAAATATAAGCGTGCTGTTTTTTCCAACTTTCATTATTATAAGTTCCAAACACGCCCCGTTCGCCATTACGGAACCTCTTGTACATGAAAGCCGCGTCGTGTTCACCACTTGGCTCCCCTTGTCCCCACTTGGAAATAGTCAGCGGTCTTCCACTCACCCAGGTCCAATTCCTGGCCCTTTTTTTTAAACCAATTCTCCATTTATTTTCATAGTTCGTAGTGTTTCGCCTTTGAATTTCGTCATTAATCAAATTCCATTCTTCTTGGGTTTCAAAGGAAACTAGGTCCCCGCCTAGACTTGAGCAAGTGTCTCTGCTCCAGTACCAGGACTCTCCATCCACCGAAATTATGTACCAAGAGTTTTTAAAAGTTATCTTTGGGCATTCTACATGATGATGAAGATGAAAACAAAGATACCAATTATCCTTATGATGATAAACGAAGTGATAATTATAATAGCATTGATAACATTAAAAGATTATAATCACAATCACAACAAAGGAAAAAATGAATGAGACAGAAAATGGGACTCATTCCCCAATTAATTCCTTTTTTTCTTTTTTTACATCATATGTATTTGTTTGATCAGTGTCAATCAGTACTATACATCTTTTTTCACTACGGCGTCTGCCACCCTGGCCTGCTTTTGTGGATTAGTTAACTTCACATCAGCTAAGATTATGATTATAAGGTTATTTGTGAATTCATGTAATTTTGGTAGTCGAGTTTTTGAATATTACTTAGTTCCTCGTTGAGCTGACACCTCCCCCACTCCGCCCCATATTCTTCCTCCTCCATCTAATCAGACTTAAAAAACGTAAAATTAAATGTGAATGTAGGTTCCCATAAATGTGCAACTGGAGATACGCATTTAACCGTATACAGTTGTTACGGGCAAAGAGCAAAACTTTAAAGTGCACGCGACAATCTCAAAAGATTATCTGGGTAACGATAATCAATAGGGACATAAAAACTAAAGATAAATTAATTAGGGTTAGCTCATGCAGTTTAGAATTTAAAGTCAGTCTTGCAATTAAATTAGGTTGTTCAAACCCGTGATGCCTCCTCCTTAAAGTAACATTTCCTAGATTTCCCTAAATTCCTGAGGTCAAGTCTAACCATGACCTAAAGGCTACCAGCAATACCTCTCAGGTTATCGCTTACACTTCCGACACGCTTTTCTCCGATAGCCTTTCTCAAAAGAACTGCATTTATCATTTGTTTTTCTCAGAGGGCATGGTAACGAATCCTGGAATCTTATTAGTACTTAATGCGGTCCGGGTTTTCCTATCTTTGCCCACGGGCACGGTATCCCTTGAGCGAGCCGCCGATTACATCTCTTGCTTTGTTGCCATTTTTTATAAATTTGTTTGGTTTTACCGGCTGGACAGTATATTTAAGCAAATCGTTTTGGAACAAATCAAGCCGATTGATAAAAACTTATTAATTCTCTCTTTCTCTCTCTTAGATCACTTTGTTTGCCTGTAAAAAAGAATTGGTTTTGAGATGAATATTGGTAGCAATTATGTCATTAGAAGGGTTAACGCGCGGCCTAAAAGCCGCTTGTAATTAACCTAAACCTTACTAGAAGTAAGTTAGACAGTTAAAACGTGAGGTATTTCTTTGCAATTGAATTCATTAGGGGTAATTTCATTCATTATGTATCTGAATTCTCTCAAATAATTTGTTCCTTGGAGAACAGTGAGCGAGGTCTTCTATACTTCAAATACGCTTTCGGTAAGTCTTTGCAAGTCCGTTCAAACTGGACATTGGTACCGTAAATTTCGCAACAGTAAACAAAGGAATTCAACGAGAAAAAGCTGCTTTAAAATTCTCCTTTTGATGAAAGACCAGTTCTACGAGCAAACTCCCACAACTTCAAAATTTAAATTTATTTAAAATTACTGTCCAGTTCAGTTTATTTGCCAACCAGCACTTTTTTGTTATTTCTTATTAAATTATGACAGATGCTTGTTAAAAAATGTTTCAAAGTTTGCTTGGAGGCCTCTTAAATTACCTTTTTCATTACCCAAATAAAAATATGGTTGGAATGTGATCTTACCTCCGGGCATCTCGCAAATGTAGGCATCTCCTCTATCGTTCCAAGAGATACCATTAAAGAGGCCTCTGTTCATGGATATTTCCACCCTTTCGTCGTTAACATTTGGCTCAGAATCTCGCCATTTCGAAATATTTAGCTGTTCTCCACTCTTCCATATCCAAACCCCGTCTTTCTTCTCCAAACCAATGAGCCACGCATTAGTAGCCGAAGTATTCCAACTACCACGCTTCTGAATCTCATGATTGATAAACTGCCATTCTTCCTCAGTCTCGATGGAGACTAAATAACCTCCCAAGATTGAGCAGACTTCATTGTTAGGAAACCTGTAAATTTTGCTTTTCGAAAATATGTAAGAGGAGTTTTTGAAACAGGTTGGTTGGCACTCTATAAGAAGAAAATAAATGAATAAATAAATAAACGAAAAAATGTATACTGATGATAACAACAGTGAAAGCGATAATGATAAAGACGAGAAAGTATTTTTTATATTGTTGATTTTAATAACAGACGATGGGCATCAAAACCCTCTACATCACTGAAGCAAATATTAGAATCAGGCCAGGTTTTAAAAGTGGATCTTTGGGAGATCAGGGTAATAGCACCGTTATTCTTTGACTTTTTGTTTTGCTTTCCAACTCACGTTTTGAATCGCAATCCAATGTAATTTAACAGGAAGTCTATAACTAATTAATATGATAATTTGGCAGGTATTATCTTTTTTCCCGTCCATTTAAAGGAACATAAATATTAAATCGAAATGAAGCTGCCTCACCTGTCCCTGGCAATTTCATCAACAAACGAAGGATGACTGTAGAAGAGAAAATGGACAAATAAATTGATTGTTATCTAAAGAGTAACATTTGAAACAATGAAAAAGTTTATTAGATTTCGAGTAAGACGAGTACTAATACATTTTATTTGCTACATGCCCTTTAACATCTATTCATGAATTTAATTACCTTCCTAGGGAGCTGACGGAGAAATTATTAAGAAAATGCAGCATCTCCGCAATTCACCAACTAGCTGAACAAAACTTTTCACATGTGGAAACATTTTTAAGGATACGATAAACCCTTTAGGAATGTCCTTCGGAAAATTTTTTTTTAACGGGCTATTCGGAGCGCAACCGAACTATAAATGAATGAAAAGATGTAAACTTATTATGTGCTATCCAGAGAAAACAATTTTTCGTTTGAGCTCGCATTTTAAGTGAATGAATCGGGTATCAAATCTGACCGCTCAAATAAAACTTCTGCACAATTTGAATCTTGAGTGGTTGGTCTCCAAAATTTTGTGAGGATTTTTCCATATATCCTTGGGAGTTACAAAACTATGGATCAGCAGGAAGCGGAACCTGCGGAACCTGCGGAACCGCCAGAGCCCGAATATTTTTTTTAAAAGAAGAGGAATGTGTTGAGTGTGAAGTTTGCTTTCGGGCATAAAGAAGAATAATTTAGAAGAAAAATATGTTTTAATTAACCATGACGTCCACTTTGGCAAGCAGTCAGCAGTCATCTACTCTGAGTGTTAATAACAGAACAACAATTTGAAAGCTCTAAAAATTTGGGTACTGCGATATCTGAATAACGCCTCATCCGAACGCTCTAAGGAAACCTACGTTGCACTATATGGAATCTAAAAGGCTTCAGTAATCCAGTTTATAAGAGATTCACTTCTGATTAAGAACTGAAAGTTTAATGCGGACTTCTTTAAATCTGTTTTGTTTTGGTTTAATTAACAGTGCCAAATATCCGCCACCTGACATTTCTTCTCTGTTTGGTTTGGTAAATTGGTGAACACAGGACGTTCCAAAATGGATGTAAATGTGTCACAAATGGAAAGTCAAGATATAATTAAAATGGTACTAACTTAGCGTACAACTTATACGAATGTGTCATTACGGGTGATTATTTTTCATTTATTTTGCATTGTATGGAAAGAGAAAATATTGAGAAACTAATAATAACGATAATGATGATAATTAGCTTTAATAATTAGACAGCAACTAGAGAGGACATGTTAAGAGTCTGGCATGTTTCATTATTAGAGTTCCGTAAGTTTAAACATCGGAATAAATATTTTACAAATGGAGAGTCAATTTCGACGGTTTCATAGCTACTGCAGAACAAACAGGAATAACTAGGGTCGTACTCACCCAGCATACAACATATTACCGGGTTTTTGAACATTTTGCCAGATTCACTTATATTTGATTCACACCGCTTCAGAGTTGCGGATTTGCGGCATCCTCGTAAAAAGCCTTTCGTGCGAGTTAGATTTTAATGCAAATCATGATCTCTGAACACATGTTCATGGCGTTAGTCTCCATTTTTTTTCTGTCATAGACGGACCAATGGACAAAAAGGAGCTTGCACCTGATGTAGAGCATTGTTTTTCTAATAAAATTGGAAAACTTCACGGTATTAAAATACTTTTTGTAGTTTAAGTGTTGTAGAAGAAGCAACTAAAAAATATTTGATGGTAAGAACGGTAATTTATTTATGAGCTCTGTTAAATGAAAGTTGTCCTAAACAAAATTCTGTTCTATCAACGAGCAGCTGAAGCTAGTATGCCATCTGTTCGTTATGCATAAATGGAAATTATTGTTATTTATTCATCTCGCCTATGACATGCTAATTACTTCGTATGCCTTTAAAACAACGGTGGCTAACGGCCAAAGTTTAGTGTTCAGCCTAAAAAACAACTCTCCCCTAGAAAAGCGTCATGCAGACTATCACATTTGTGTCCAAATGTTTGAATTCCAACAATTTAGAACGAGCGGCGAGTCAAAAGCTCTTAGTGCGAGACGTTCTTGGGTCGTAGTGATGTGCTCTGTGGGCGAGACATTCTACTCTCCCAGTATCTCTCCACGCTCATGGAATAATTGATTATTTATTCTGGAATATTCGCTCGTCTTAGCTGCGATATATTAGGTCAATCGAAGCTTGAAGCGTTTTGACCTATCGCATTTGAGCAGTGTAGAGAGAAAAGTGCTTGTATATTTCAGAATAATTCTTATTTTAACTTCTTCCGTCTTAATCGCACGCTTCGTCATCCATGTTTATTTATAAATGGGTATGACGTAAACTAGACTATTATAAACTGTTAGGCACATCTTCATAATCGACTCCTTCTCTCGCTTGTTGAAATTCCTCTGCAATGCTAACTTTCACTGTAGTGATATTTGAAAACAAGGCCCATCGAAATATTCTGCATTTTTATCGCTAAGCTTTTCCCTTTAAATTGCATACTCTGAGTAAAAGTTCTTTAATCGTTGTTTTAATGATGTGCCGAATAGTTTATAATCTCTTGGTTTATGCCATTTCCGCTAACGTTGCCCCAATTTAATTCCAAATTAATCGATGTATTTTCGATTTAAAACGATACTCCTTATTTTAGGAATGCGAAAAAAAATGGGTAAGTGTAACTGATCCAAAAAAAGATCCAGTCATAAGGGTTTTTTTTTCTGTTCTTTCTAAATAAGTTGTTTACTTATTCAAACATTTACGTATTGATCTATTTATTCATTAAGCAACAACTTTGAATGTCAGCGATAGCTAGACTATTAGTATTATTTGTTACGGTACAATTTAACAGACAAAAACAGCATCATTTATCAACAGACCTGATTAATTTATTAAACAAGTTGTAATCTTCTTGCCAAGGAGCGATTCTTAAAGAAGTAGAATAATTATCCTTAAAAAAACTGATTGAAGCCCACCACAAACTACTTCTTTGCTCACCACTGATCAAAGTAACTCAAGATTAACAATCTTCCACGGTTGCTCTCTCTCGGTATAGCTTTCTGAAAAGTCCGTCCCTCCCGACAACAACAAGTACTATTGCTGCGCTGAGTACTTATGTACAAATTATTCCACAAAATTCCGCAAGCTTATAACACAACTATATTGGTGGTGTTACATCATAACTACGTAACCTAGTAAAATTCTCCAGAAGTTCCTTAGTATGAATGTGGGCATGAATAGGCATTCTCGATTTCTGTGGTCTTATTCGAAGGACAGTCATAAAGATACTAAGCCATTAGAAATTTAAATCTATAGACTGGTTTATTTCGATGAATATTGCCTTCAAATATACGATCGCCTAGAAAATAAACCTATATTCATGAAGAAGATAGGTTACAATCACAACTAGTTGAGTGCTTAAACAATAATGAAGAGAATAAGTTTTTTTTGCCTGCAGATCATGACTCAGACCGATCGCAACCGACTAAGAGCTGCTAACTAAGTGATTATTCTAAGTAATTGACTGTTATTTACGGCTGGCGGGATCCAGTTATTTAAGTTAAGTGCGACTTCCATTTAAATTCAGCTGAAGACTGCAATTCAACTGCCCATACATTCCCAACCTCATTTGGATTGACGTGTGACCTCTTCCTTATGGAGTTGTTCTTTATGGAAGATGGAAAAACGATGTTCATCTTTCTTTCAAATCGCTCTCTGATCTGCAGATAGACGAGCAACAAGGAATGTGGTTCTTAGCACTCGGATATTTTATCGAAACACTAAGACTTGATGAGATGCAGTTGGTGTAGAATCAGTCTAATGTTTTTTCTTACCTGAGTGTCTCGCATACCGTGTAAAGCGAAAATCAGGAGACCCTGCAGCATAAACATGATTTAAAGTTCATTACTTTTCACAACATTCAAATACACTAGTCAAATTTCTATTAAGATTTCCAAGAAGGAGGGAAAATTGCATATCTCATAAATGGAGAAGAATCTGTTGCATAGTGAACAGCTTTTTTTTTCTCAGAATTCTAATAAATATCAACTGACCAATGTAATGGTGTCTCTCACGGTTAGCCTGACCCTAACTAAAATAATAGTAGGGACTGAATGACTTTTGAGAGTTACCATCGAACACTGACCTGAGTAGAGTTGAGTATGGTGAAGATGTAAGCGAAAGCTTTATGTACAGGCGAAAGTAGACCAAATAGCCATGTGACACCCAGCAGGGGAATCATCACCACGCATGCTTTGATGCCAAGTCTAGGAGTTGAAAAAAAGCATTTCTTTAGTTTCCTTTGACAATTAATTTTCATCGTTAGACATTGGGTTAAAGAATGGGGAAGTTGGGCGAATATGCCTCAAAAGCAATCTCTTCTACTAGTTTGTTTTAGTTTTATGTTGGGAATCTTACCGTATTTGCTGAAAATGGTTGTCTTCCGCTGTTGGCTGCACCAAATTGGTCATCTCCTTTATGACTCGTACGAGTATCAAGATGTTAAGCTAAAAAGTACGATAGAGATAAATTAGGTACTTAGATATGGTAGTTGAATCACCAAAGTAAGAGAGGATCCTTCTCGCAAAAGACGTTACCAGTTCGGTAACAAGGGTCGGGTATAGCGTCTTCTACAGGGAATAGAACTTCCAACCGGGGGACCTAGATTATGAGCTTTGATCCTCTACCAAGGAGCTAAAGAAATCGCGAACAAAAGTGTCCACACTGAATGAATTACTCTGGGTGAAGCCTCGCGTTAAATTATATAAATTCAATATCTCCGTCTCTTTCTACTCATTTCCCCTTTTGCAATATTGCTTTATGAGTTATTTTTGCGCTAGAATCATATCTTGATATATCAATGTGAAACTATGACAAGCATTAACAAGGAAGTGGGATAGTTTTTTTCTTTCCATACTATGTAGTAAAAGTTGGAGAACATATTAAGCTATCTTATGCCTGTGAAGACATTGTCTCAACAGGTTTTCCTCGTTATTGAAGGCCATCACCAGGTTAAAATTGACCAGCATCCCCGAACACAGCGGCTACGTCCAAAGTTTATTGTGAGTAAATAGTTAAATATTGTGTGGGGACACATGGATCACCAACACTAATCATAAACTCACAATTTCAATGAAAGCCACAAAGGCGACAAATATCCAGATCAGGTTGTTAGTCGAGGAAAGCCAAC